TTAGGCAAAAACATATTACTTTAATGACTGGGACATGCAGCTAGCCAAGATTTAATTATGAAGCAACAGCAAGCAGCCAAGCGGCCAAGCGGCCAAATTGAATTCAGCCTCCTCAGCTTACAGGACACACTACCAGCCGCAGCAGCAGCAGCAGCAGCAGGCGTTTCAGCAGCCAGACCTGGCCCCCAACCTCGCCCCAAACAAACTCTACCGAAATTGACCATTAAAATCGTTTATGCATTTTGTGTGCTGCTTGCTTCTCTAATTGGGTTTTGTGTCGTTGTTGTAGTTGCTGTTGATATTGTGCAGCGTGAGAGGCCACCATAAAATATTATTATTACAAATTCAATTTTTATGCGTGTTCGTAGCGCGCTTTTTATTGCATACTTTTGGGTGATTGGCTGCAGTCAAATCTGCAGCCAAACGCTTCAAATAAAGTCATCAATTTTAATGCCAAGTCGCCTGCGTTTGCCACCAGTCACAAATTGAATTCAAATTCAAGTTTCAGCCATGCAAACTACACTTGACAACGAGGTTTTTTATTTTATTGTAAAACATATTTATGGGCTTGGTGCTATTTCAGAAATTTGTTTGCTTTATTTATTTAATTATTTATTTATTAAATTATTTTTAACAAATAAAATTAAGTTCAATTACGGCATTATTATATTGGGCATCTAAAATGAAGATGTGTACAGCATTGAATGGATATCTCAGATAATTTATGTATATATTTATATATTTACAACCATATTTTTATATAAACAGCCAAATTCCACACCGTTTGACCTCAGAAAATGATAAACATTCACTGGCCAAACTCAATTAAAGCCTTTTTAAAACAGATTAAATTTTATTTAATTTAATTTTTGTTGCATGCATCAGTTGCAATTTTTGAGTGTGTGTGAGGGGGAGAAAAAACGAATCTTCAGGCAGCTAGAAATGGGGTTGAGCTAGAGTCCAAGATAAACAGAGAGCGACCACAAAACGCAAGCCGCATACGTACTCATTCTCACTCACACACATACACAGATGCACTCAATACACACATAAGAGCTGAGAATGTGTCTCTGTCAGGCAGTTATCGCTGAATTATGCGGGCTCTTCACAGAGAAGTAAGCGAAAGGGTGAGGCTGGGACAGCCCAAGTAGTGAGTACGTTTAGCCCTAGCCACAAGTACACACATACATAAGCACACTCACACGCACGCACACAAGCACACATTGAAATGGTAAATGACACAGAGAAATTCAATGTCAAAGCGTTGGCGCACAAAAGAATGCTACGATATGTGGCGAAGAAACTGAAGCAAGGCTGAGACCGAACGGACACGGACAGTAGCCAGTTGCGTCAATGGTGATGATGACAATGATGATGGCAGCCAGACAGACAGACACACACACACACACAGACACACACTCGTATCACACAACTAAATGTGTAAAAGTTTGATTTGCAGCCGGAGAAAGGACGAAGGAAATGGTCTACATGGAAAAAAGATGTTGAAATATATGAGGAAAAGCAAGCAAAAAGTTTTTTTTGCGTTGCTGCGGAAACGGAAATAGAATTATAAAAGCCAAGCTAAAGACGTTTACACACCATACAAAAAGCAAATGGCAACTTAAGGGGTGGAGCCAGAGAGCAGGCCAGGGGCAGGAGCAGAGACATGCCAGACACACACGCACACACACACATGCCAGGCAGATAAGAAAACTGTTTGCCAAAGGCTTATAGCTGTCTATGTGTGAGTGCGTGTGCGTGTGAGTGTGAGTGGGGGAAACTTTTTGCCAAGTTCGTTGGGGTACAAATTTATGAACAGACAACCACAAAACTGTGTGAAGGCAGTGGCAGGGCCAGAGGCAAGGGGCAAGAGGCAAGGGGCTGGTTGAATCAAAAATGAAGTGCGATTTATGGTCATACAAATCAAAGTTTGGTGCTTGAGTTGATTGCTAACAATCTTTTGTATGCCAGAGTTGCTTGAATTGAAGTTTTGGGGGAGGCCGAGAGGACATTTTTAGGCGTGGCTATGAATGCGGCTTCTGTAATATTTGACACTCGCTTGGCTGACTGCAGGTGTCGCCCGAAAGAGATTTGTGGTACAAATTAGGAGAAATGCTCTGAAAAATGAGGTGATAAATTTTGCAAAGTGCGAGCAAAACTTTTGATTTGAAAGAGGCTGGGAGTGCAATGGGATTTATGAACAATTATCAAAGCTGTGGTGAAATTTCCGCCAGCTGATTTGTGTGGCAAAAACTTTTCAAACCAGCTGACGAACACACACCCTGGCAATAATGTGAATGGCCATTCAAGTTTCCAACGGTTTAGTTTATGAGTTGAATTTCAGGACCGACACAGGATTTGGGGTTTCCCCTTTGGTTTGGATAATTTTGGGCTGGGGTCTTGTGCTCTCATGCATTTATTGAGTCACTAATTTGACTATTGTGTGCCTGTCCCAAAGGGATTGCAACTGATTTAAAGTGACACAGAATAAGCCAGGTGAAATGTTTGGAGAAGCGAAAGGATTAATTCGAATCGATAATTAAATTCGAGTATTGAGAGGAATCGAATTGAGGCCTGTACTATACTGAAATGAAATGCTGAAATGTAGGCGATCTGTGTTTTTGATTTAGGTAATGCGATTGACGGGTTGTTTAAGAAGCCCAAGCACTCAATCATAAACTAGGCTGATAGTTTTAGGACATGAAAGTATTGGTAATCAAAACAATTGAAAAGAGAATTAATGTATGAAATTGTTGGAGTAACCATAGACAATTGTGTGGTCTAGTAGGATATGGTTAAGATCATAAATGTCTGCTTTTGAAGATTTTGTGCAACTTCTCAACATTTATATACTCTTGATATATATACTATTTCTCTCGCCTGGTACGCCGTACAACTTCTTGGCAGCCCGCATAAGTTGAATCTTTGGGTAATCCGTGCGCCAGCAGCTTAACAAAGGTCACGAGTAGTTTTATACGATAGCCCGCATCACCTTGGGCCAGACCCAGACAAAGGGCCAGAGCCAGAGCCAAGCCCAAAACCAAACCCAAGTGCCGAGCAGCCAAGCAAGTCGGCGACGCATTTGGCACGGCTAATTCAGCACAACATACGACGCATTACAGTTATAGTGGCAGGACAATCAGGACGAGAGCCGGGAGGGGGTGGGGGGGAGAGGATTTGCTACTTGAGAAATTGAATATTTCACATGTCTGTTTGAATTTTATAAGCACAGAAGGAAGCAGCCAACACAGAGCGGAAAAAGGAAGTCTACCACCAGAGAAATAGGAGATAAAAAAAAAAAGGAAAAACTGTGCGAAAACCTAACCAGCAAACCAAATACGAAAATTGAAAAATAAAAAAATAAGAAAGGAAAAAAATAAATCGAGAGAAGCTGCTGCTGCTGCTGATGCTGATGCTGCTACAGCAGCAGAAAGAGAAACGTGAAACGGCTGGGCGCCTAATTTAATATTCCACAGTGCAGGAAATTTGTGGACAGAGGCAATAGAAAGCAGGAAAGAGATAGACAGTCAAAATAGACACATAGACGGAGAGGCAGACAGACAGACGGACAGTGAGTGGGGCCAGCAGTCGGTTGTTGTCGGTTATGACGGAGCTGCTGATCCTCCGTCTACTCAACCCCATCTGGGCTCAAGATGGACAATTTAGTTTTCTAGCGTTGAGACCCTCATACAAACGTGCAAAATAAATGATATTTTTATCACACACATGCACACACAGACGTCCCCACACACACAGACACTTGGCCAGGGCAGAGCACTAAATGAAGCGTAAATTTCAAATGATGTTATAGGCTTTTAGGCCGATAAGTAAATTGCATTTTATTTTCTTTTTCTTTTGAGACACTTCAAACATGTGCAATTGTGTGTGTTTGTTGTGAATACAATCTGATGTTATATTTGAGAGCGAGCATCTTTTATACAGGTATTTGGTCATGAATATGCTTGAACTATTCTTAATATTTTTATAGTGTTTCGGTAAGGTAGAGAGAGAAAAAGAGAGAGAGAGAGAGAGAACACATTTCTGTAGATAATATCACACAGGATCTATCGATTGACTAGAAAATCACACACACAAGGTCTATTAAAGTAGTTAGAAGTAAGAAGCAGTATTGGACAATGTTAAGATTGTAATAATAAACAAATAAAACAAATATAATTGTATAAAAAAAAAAAAGAAAGAAAGCAAGTAATCTGTAAGACTTAACTTCGGCTAGCATATAGCTTAACCCCCACCCATGGACAACAAATCAAAGAACATATTTGCTTTGCATAATTTGTGGGCGCGGACAAAGAAAACGAATCGCAAAAGCCCGAAATCGAAACACAGATCCCATAAATAAATCAATGCTAAAAATAAAAGAGAATATGTTAAGCCATTATGTAAACATTTAAATTTACATGCCAGTGACTTTGAGGATGGGCAAACGCGAGAGAGGGAGAGAGAGAAAAATAATATTTATGGCCTACTTAAAGGCTTACTTAGTCAACGTAGCCGCTCTTAGGGCCACTCTAATTTCAATTTTCAAATTTGCATTGCTCTTTGAGCCACTGTTCAGCACTGGTTGCCATGCAAATTGAATCATTTTTTTGTTCATTTCAACAGCAACTCAATTTTGCTATGGCGACCTATTCAAAAAAATGAATGCCGTGTGAGTGTGGTTTTGGGTGGGTGTGTGTGTATCTTGAAGGTGTTCTGGCTGGCAAAAAGTGTCGTTCTTTTGAATTTATGATACTAAACACACAACACGCATTGTGCCAGAGGTTGAAAAGCGACTTTATTCATATGGCTGCCCGCCTTCCCAACCTACCCAAAACATGTACATTTGAATAGCCTTCTGATTGTGTGTGTGTGCGTGTGTGTGTATATGTGCTGAGTTCCTGAGTTCACCGATGTTCCTTTGGTCTTTGTGCTGCACTTTTGCTGCCTCGTTTTATGTATAGTAAAATAAATTTCTTATTTTGATATTTACCTTCTTGCAGATCGTACCATCAGCGAGCATGAGAACAAAAATGTGGTGCTGCCATGTCCGGTGAATGAGCAAAAATGCGGGAAACTGCATTCCCTGAACTGGTTCAAAGGCGATGATCGGATTGCTGCAATGCTGCTCGGCGATAGCAATGTCACGAGTGTGAATGATGAATTTAAAAACAGGTGAGTCTAGCAGAAAATACGTGAGCGCATGCTGAAAAGATAATAATTTGTTAAATTAAATTACAATAATTAATTATTATATATTTTGTTGCGCTTGCAGAGTAACTGTTGAGCAAAATCCATACAGATTAGTTATTAAGGATTTGAGAATATCTGATGAGGATATCTATCTATGTGATACAACATTTTTTATACCAGAAGAAACGTGTGATAACTTCAATGGCTATCGTGTCGAATTAAGAGTCTTAGGTAAGTTACCACCCGAACCTCGTGCCAGTTGCTTTTGCATGCTACCATCTTCTGCTCAGCTTAACAATTCACTTAACAACTCTTTTAATTTGCGTATACTTATGGATTCTTCTGTTAAAGTATAAATTGTAAATGCTTTTGTATTCAGTTTGCTTAAAATAACAATTAACTGCTAAACTAACCTGTAAAAACTCATATCATAAAGAACATACGTGTTTATGCATGGGATTTGTTTGGAGCTTGCTAACAAGACAGCACGCGGAGAAAATGGGATATCTGCAAGGATGTTGCATGTTTGAGGAGCGAGAGATCTGGGCGCATATTGCTTGTATGCTTACTGTGTTTGTCCCAAAAAAGCGTTGTTTTTGAAAATTCTGCTTAAAAGTCTGTACAATCAGAATGGAAATGCAATCAATCAAATGTGTTCCTTAAACTCAAATATATGGTATTGGCCTTGTATTTGCGAGCTTAAAAATAAATACCAATTCCCTATTGGGTTGATATTTTCGGAAATATTTGTGTTAAGCCTGTTTTTAATTCCACACAATATTTCGTTGAATTTATGCAAAAATTCGGAACTGCAATTCAGCAAATATATTTCGACAATTTACAATTCAAAATTCGTAACCCAAATTGCTAAATCGATTGCATTTTCACTTTGACTTTATTTCAATGCAAGTGAAAAATATAAAAAAAAATAAGTTTTTGTTTTTTTTTTTTTTTTGAATGCCTTTTGCTGCCTGCCTTTACACGCCAAACATTCTGTTGTATATATGTACAAATCAAATAAAAAAACTTTATTTATTAGTATATATATCAAAATGTACATCCCTTGCAAAGTGCATATCGAAAACTTTACTTTTAACTGCTCTACTCTTTTACCATAACATTTGAACGTGTCAAAACTCATGCAAATATTTTCTCTTAACTGATTGTCCCACAAAAACATAAAAAAATAAAAAAAAAAAAATATATATCCAAAAAATCGCATACAAACGCTCGTCCACATCGACATGGAATTTCTATATATACATGTGACATATACATATATATGAATATATATATGAATTGCTATCAAAAACTCAAACAAATTCGCTCCACCAAAACTAAAACTAACAAAACAAAAAATACTAAAAAAAATCAATACATGACAACTACTGCCAAAACATAAAATAACCAAAAAATAAAATCAAATCGAAAAACGAAAAACTAAATCAAACTCCACACCACATCTCTTCCGTTCACAATCGCCCCCCTTTTCAAACGTGTGCACTCACCAACAAAATTGTTTTCTATATACATACGTATTTCAAAACTGTATTGAACTGTGCCCCACAAAAAAAAAAAAAAAAAAAAAACATAAACTGATGTGAAACTCAACCTAAAAATAATTTTAAATTCCAAAAAACGCTTTAAATTAAATTTGATTTCTTAAAAACGTCAAATCAAAACCAAAACCTAACGTTTTTGGCTATGCATTAAAAAAACAAACTACGCAAAACTAAACGTAGAAAACCTTGGTAAATTTAACTTATAATAAACATAATTTTTAGTTCAATTTTCTTATAATTTTTAATTTAGTTGACTGGCAAGAGAAAATCAATTTTTAGTTTTCCTTAGTTTTTTAACAGAACGAGAATGTGGTGCTGATTTTGTTTTATTACAATTTTTTTTATCAATTTAGTTAAAGCATATTTATTATCTATTTCTTATTATATTCACTTTAACTTTCATAAATCGGCTCCATAAATTTTTCATTTCATTGCAAAGCTATTTCCACTCATTTCTTGAAATTTAGTATTTAACCTCATTTTCATTTCAAATTTATTGCTCTTAGCCAACTATAATTTCGATTCTAATTTATTATAATTTCTGCTAATAATATTTTATATACAATGCAAATCAAATATGATTTATTAAAAACACAAATTCAACATTTTTACCTCCCGAAAAAATGTAAAAAATGCAAAAAAAAAAAAAACCAAAAAAAAATGATTTGAACTACGCACAAACAAACACATACACACACACACACTTACACAACATCGATATATACACACACACGCACACACACACATACATCACACAATATGTCGTTGGATGTTGGACGCACAGTGCCACCCACAGAGGTTGTGATTTTGGACGCAAAGGGCGACCGCATCGAGAACGGCAGCATCGTCGGACCCATGCAGGAGCGACAGAGTCTCAAGGCGACCTGTACGGTGAAGAACACACGGCCCCAACCCGAAGTGGGCTGGTGGCGTGGCACCAAACGCCTGGCAACATGTGAGTATTGCTCCCAGCTCTAAACTATGTTCCATAGGTAGCAAATCGCATAAAGGTTAGCTTTTCTTATTTTTTTTTGCCAGCAGTCATAAAAACTGCTGAAGCGCGTTTATTGATTCCGAAAAGCTTGAGGGCGGGGTAGTAGATTGGGGTTGGGGGCCTAAGCAGCCAATTTGATGCATAAGCCCACCAAGTTGAAGGAGTCGAGTTCAGAGTCGGGTTTACGATGCGCCACAAAGTTTATGCAGTGACTGACGACCGAGGTCATAAAGCCAAGTCCAGGCCACGGAAGGATTTGGCTGCTTATCAGTGTCAGTTTTTTTTTTTTTTTTGGCCCTATATAGCATAGGCAAATGCCCAGCCGCGCCCACAGCAGCCCATAAAATGCTATGCCCTTTTATTGTAAAACATAAAAATAAACTTTTAGGCGATTTTCATTAAATTTTTAAGAGCCTTAGCTCCATGCGCCCAACCAACAACCACCACAAGGCTAAAGCCCCGCCAGTGAAATTAATTGATTTCTATTTTAAAAGCCAAGGCATCCATTACATTAGCTAAAGCAGAATTTAAAACGGGCACCCGGAACATTTCAGAAATTTTGGTTTACCATTTACCGGCCTTGAAAAGCACTTTAAGTAATTTTTATGCCCAAAATCCCAAAAATATCCCAGCAATTTGCAACGGCAACAAACAACACCAGCTACAAGGCGGCAACATTTTCCCTCCTTTTTATTTTGTGTTTTCCTCATTTTGTTTTTTGTTGTGTGCGGCTTCTAATTGGCCTTCGGTCTGTGGCTTGCAACCCTTTTGTCTGAGCGGCCGCAAGTCTAACCCCAATCTTTGATTCCAGGCGAAATTTTATTTATTTTTGGATTTATAAGCCCTTTGCTTATCATAATTGCTTGTAATTAGGAAAATGTTGATGAGTAGAGAACACCTGGAAAATATGAAATGTGAAATCTAGCAGTTACTTTAGTTGTGTTCGGATGTCAGCCTTTTCTTCAATGGGAGCTTCAAATATTTAATAAATGTTTTGTTTTCATTTGCACAGATTCGCCCACTCATGATCTTAACGACGGCCTCTATACATCCACACTCGAACTGGATTGGCAATTATCACGTGAGGATCTGGCAACGGATATTGAATGTCGCGTCGAATCGGCGGCTATAAAGAATGCAATTGTTACCAAATTTTCTGTCGATTTGCAAGGTGAGTCATCATTACGACTATTCCGCTGAACTATAAACATAAGCCAAAGAACCCATTCCCGTTTGGGATGACTCAACTGCCTATCATAAAAGCCAGCTAGCAGTGAGTCAGCCATAGATATTGGCTTGAATACAATATATTTATGTAGGTGTGCTTAGTTAAATGACCAGCATAGTAAAAAGGGTACATTTTATGACTTTGTTTTCAAGTTTATAATGCATAAAAGTGTTTAAAGCAAAGTATTTTAAGATTGAATTTAAAGCAGGGAGTATCCAGAGATTCTAGAGAAGTTCAAAGAAATCGTAACAGATTAAAAAGCATCATCACATGCACATCTTAAATTATATATATTAAAAAAAAAAAAACAATTTTAAATGACTTTTGTTACCTTTACCAAAGAAATTAATATATCTTTTTTATTATAATAATTAATTGAACTTTATTTTATCATAAAGTAACCCTTGCATTACTTTGCGCAAAACGATTTAACAATTTAAGCCCCATTGACTAATTACAGCTTAAAGCTGAAAACTTTTACGAATTTTAAGCATTTGTTTAACTGCATTAATTAACGTAAATTAAAAAGCGTAATAAATTTGCAAGAAAAACAACAAAAGCGACAACATTCACGCGACATTTTGACATGTTTCAGGTTCATTAAACCAAAAAGACCCCAAACGAACCCTTCTAATTACAACAAAAACAACAACAGAATCCCTTAGGCGCCTGAGAGCCTTTTGAAAGTCATGCAAATAAATTTTTTCTAATTAAAAGCCGACAATATCAAGTGACATTTTTCCCAGTTTCTTCTTGAATTTTATTTTACTTTTCTTTTTTTTTTTTTTGAAATTGACGAATGATTTGACATTTTTGCTGGAGCAATTAATGAATGTCATTAAATGTAACATAAAACTAAGCCAACTAAGCCAAGTTTTTCATTTACAAAGTGGGCACAGTCAATTGATTGATGGCCAACTGCCGCCCATGCCATGCCCAAGCCTTAAAACATTTACCAATCAATTGAAAATGTAGGAAATGGAGGCTCATGTATGCCGTAGGCAGAGTTCTCCAAAAGGCAGCCAGCCAGCCCGCCCGCATGCAAATTGCCATTATTAATGTTTTATATTATGTATAAAAGGAGCAGTGGAAGTAGAGCTAGGCAAACGAGCTATAGACATACCCAGACAAAAGCCAATTACAAGTCGAGCATTTTAAGCAATTTTCTAACAGCCACCCAAACCGCTTTCTTTTCCATTTACACAGTGCGACCCACGAGCATAGACATCAGCGGAGTGGAACATCATACGGTGCAAGGCAACAAAGTGGTGCTAACATGTCACGTAAGTATTGGATGAACTTTTGTATTAAATGAAACTCTGAATTACGGGTCGCTTGGAGCAGAAGGTCGGACGATCTGGTCAATCGACTGCCAGATAGTGCGCTGAGAAACAGAGAATCAGGCAGAAATTTCATTTCTCTGAATATTTTGAACGCAACTTAAATCTTCTCAGTTAACGCAAGGTCTCATAAATCGCAAGGATCCGGTTCACTTTAGAGAATAAGTTTATTTAGAAAACAATTTACCTGCAAACATTTTTCAAATATATATCAAGAATGGAAGACTTAGACAAATCAATATCTATAAAATATTAATTTCACAGATTATTTCTTACCCACTTTTAAGAGAAGGCTTTTAATAGTCTCTCTTCTACTTGAGTCCCGAAAATGTTTATTCTATAACAATCCCTTCAAAAATACTTTAATAGAATTGGAATTTCGGACCATGATAAGCTGCACTGCATATCAAGTTGCTTTTATGTCCATGTCCATATTCTCCGCCTCGTCCTCGTTTTCGTACTCGTCCTTTATCGTGGCAGTCCGAGTAATTGACAATAATTAACTGTCAATTATTTTGCGATTTTTCGTCGACGTTGAGGGTGTACATGTTTAGGTGTGGGGGTCTATGCTACTGGCCATTAAACGGGCCGAGTCCTTGCACATCCTGAGTATTCTACATATTCAACGACAATGCCTTGTCATTTGCTTGGGCCTTTGTCTGTCTTGTGCCAGTTGCCAGTTGCGATTGCATTTTAATGGAAAAGCGCTCAATTGGCTGCAGTTTAGCAGCACTTTCAGCGTAAGAACCTGCCTCGTGTGCACTGTAAAATTATGCAAAATTGTCTATTGATTGCGTATTATGTTTAATGGAATTTTACGCAATTGTTTTACTGCCTTGCCGCCTTGTCAGGTATGTTGCCTGAAACTGATGGCTAATGGATATATGTATATGAATATCTACTCTTGCTAATGGAAATTTAATGGCAATTGCTTAGAGTTTCCTCTATCTGCTCCCATCAGGCAATAATATAGCTCATACGACCCACTGGATGTATATTGGATATCTGATTGTTTTCCCTTTATTTTCGACAGATACACGGCGCTAGGCCCGCAGTCAACCTGACCTGGTATAACACAACTTCTGTTATTAGTGGCGAGGAGAACGATTTAACTGAGATACGCACCAAGGCTGTAAGTTTCGTACTTATTCAGAAAATATATTTTAATTCATTTGATTCGCTTCGACAGTTTGAAAAGGAGGATGGCACTTATCACACCCAGTCTGAATTGATGTTCAATGCGACACGCTTTGAAAATGATCGCGTCTTTCGCTGTGAGGCTGAAAATATTGTTCTGCAAATCAATCGCGAGAAACCAATGGCGTCAGCTCTCACATTGGAAATAATGTGTAAGTATATGTTTCAGATTATTGCTATGCCAGAAAATACGATTCGGGTGTAAGAGAAAAGGATCTTCAGATATAAGGCTTACTGTTCAATGGTCAAATAATGGTTAACGAATCAACTGACTTAAGCACAGCTTAAATAGTTGAGAGAATATCTGTTCCCAGTCAAAAAAGAAGTAAATTTCTGTTGCCAGTCTGATACTTAAAAGCTGAAGCCAGGCCTTAAAAACTCGAAATTATTTTCAAAAATATTATTATTTCTTCTGCATACTCTGCTATTTCAAAAGAAATGTATGTATTTGGCTTTCTTTTAGCCAACTTTTATGCACATCTATATTTTTGTTGCCAATTTATCACGCTATTTTTTTATCTGCCCTTTACACACAGATCCGCCTGTCGTCAAGGTCAGTCCACCGGAAATGGTCACAAATACCAGCGAAATAGTGCTACTCAATTGTGAATACGTGGCAAATCCGGCCTCGCTCACGCAGGTCGTTTGGTAAGTGCTTAATCCAAAACAAAATAAAAATAAAACACAGAAAAATGACAGCAAAATTAAACTGAAAATTGGAAGAGAAAAAAAAAGAAACGGAAACAAGCCGAAGTCAAAAGCGAAAAGCAAACGAATTTAAATTGCTTTTGAATTCACCACACGAAATACGCGCACATGTGAAAGAGATGGCAACAGGGTGGGCGGGAGTATTACCAAAAAGAGATAGCAATTGGCCACAGGCAAAAACTGACGCGCTCTTTGTTGTGCTGCATTGGCGCCTGGCAAAGGTGTGTGCCAAAGCGGAGGGCACCGGTACGGACCGGAGCTGACAGGGTTGAGCCCCCAGGCTACACAGCACTTTGGGTGACTTTGAAAACAGGCAACAGTCACACTCACAGGTAACACGGGCGTTAGGCAGCTGCAACTACAACGGAGCAGAACTCAATTAAACTAAAATTTCTACTGTAAACAAAAATCTAATTAAAAACAAATACAAAAGTAAATAGGCAACAGGAGTTGAAATCTACGCAGCAACAACAACAAGAAGAGCAGCAAGTACGTAAATTGTGTGTGCATGCTATTAAGGCAACTGAACACACTGACGCACTGAAAGACAGATACACCCACACACACACACGCACACACACGCATACATACGCACAAATATGAGCGTGCATTGCATTGCGAGGTCTCCAATGCAGCGAGCATCCATTTATCTGCTGAAAATCAAAACAAACTCGCAGTTGCGTAATTCGCATGCGAATGCAAGCTAGTGAGGAGAATGTTACCAGAATTTGTTGTTGTTGTGGCTGTGTACAATTAATAGGCTGTTGCATGCTGCAACCCTGCTAAACTTGGAGAAGTTGTTGGGCGCAAACAATTTCACTTTAGCATTGTTTTATTCCAGTTGAAAATTTTCATCCACAAAAGCTAAAAGTAAGCAGGAAGAGCAAGAAAAATATATTATTTGATTCAAACCTGATGGACGAACTTTTATTTGTAATTTTAAACAAGCTTTTCTCTAACAAATTGAATTAATGCAAAAGAATTTGGCTTAACAGTGAAAATTTCCGGCTAAAGAAACCTGAACAAGGGTTTACTTTAATCAGTGTAAGGGATACACAGTAGTCAGAGATATTTATCAATCAATAAAAATAATATTAATTTAAATAGTAACAATAATATACATATAACATAATAACAATAACAACAATAAAACATAATAATAGATTGTATCGAAAACTCCAAGTAGCTTTCTACCTTACAACGGGCTGTGCACAACAACCTTTTCAGGTGTTTGCCATGCTGCTTTTCATTAGTTTGCACTATAGTGTTTTCTGGCAGTGTACCAGGCACTCTGCCATAGACAAACAACAGGCATGCAAATCCGTCAGCAGCTGCACCACGAATGCCCAAACATAAAATTGCACAATGAGAATAATGCACAATCTTTAGCTGGCATGGCAACCGACTCGCCAACGGGCAAATTAGATAGCGAGCAATGGAAACGTGGACGGGGTCCTTGACGTGGACGAGCCAATGATGAGCTTGTGAATGGTTGTGCCTAACAAACTTGGCCAAAATACTGCGGCCGTTTGATGTGCATGCAATGCGTATGCGCCATACGAATGCTGCAAATGCAAATTGCAGTTGCAATTCCATTCATTCACAGATTTCTCCCTCTTCGACTTTAATGCTGAGAACGTATTAATTTGCCTGATGGTGGCACGACCACGTGGCGTATGCGCGAAATTCACAGGATGGTCGGCTGCAAAATCTCTGCGTGGGAATGTGTGTGTGTGTGTGTGTGTTTCGTTTGGGGATATGGCAGACAATGGCGCATGGCTGAAATCAGAGTTAACTCAGGGCAGCAAAATTTTGAAAACGAGTAGTTTTTTTTAATTTCTAGCCAATTTTAAGAAGACTTTTAGAAACAAAGCGGTTGCTTAGAACTTTAGCATAGGGCTAATTAAATTATTTTAAATCTAAGTCCATTTTTGAAAGCTTAAAGTGAATTTAGATTAGACAGAGATATCAGCTGGGAACTTCGTAACGCCTTTGACAATTCCTCCACTTTCTTTTATAAAATTAGATCTAATGATAATGCGAAATATTTGATCTAACGCATATATTTAAACACTCTGCTAATCTGTAAAAAACCTCACCTACAACAAGGCAATGCTTTTGTTAAATAGTGCAGAAAACTGCATTGACGCTGCCTGGGGCATTAAATGTCAACGCCACACGATTTCCTAATTACACAACAACAACAACAGCTGCAGCTGCAGCAGCACGCGCACATGAGGAATGAAGATGGAGCAAACACTGCACAGACAACACAGACAGCCACATATAAGCACGCGCTGGTGTGTGTGTGTGTCAAGTGGCTGCATTTTACAAGCCTATTCCATGCTTGAAGTTTTCGCATTTCTCTTCTCACGCTCGCTTTTCATTTGGCTTCGTTTTTTTTTTGAGCTTTTTTGCTAATGCCAGCTGAGAAATTAAATGCACACACAAAAGTGACACAGAAAATTTATTTAGCAGGCATTTCATTTGAGTCTGACGCGCTGCCTCTCTCTTTCTCGCTCTCAAATTCTCTTCCTCTCTCTGTCTCTGTGTATAAATGTGTGTTTTCATGGTGAATTGTGTGCAGTGTGCAGTGTATGTGTGTGTGTGTGTGTGTGTGTGTGCATGTATGTGCAAGCGCAGCGTTTGCTCTGTGGCTAAAAAATGAAAAGCTCTGCATGAAATTTAGACAGCGCAAAATTTTCGTAGCATACCTTTCGGGGCCAACATTTTTAGCCACAATTGTTGGGGCCAGGTTGCATAACAGCTGCAAATTATATATTAATTGGATTTTAAAGGACCTTAAAGAAGTAGTTTCGAATAACGTTAAGTATACTTAGCACCATTTTGTATTAGGTATTTCTCATATATATCTTTAAGAATTTCTTCGCTTGACTTTTCTCATACAATCTTATTTACTCTTTTATTTAATTTAAAGATTGTTTATAGATATTTTCCAATTATTTATTTGCATAGAACAAGCAATTAAAACCTAACATATTACCTTTATTTATGACTTGCAATTCAGTTAAACTTTTACTTGAATTTATTTTCTTGCCTTGTTTCATTCAAATACTTTCTCACGTAATATAATTCAATTGATATCTACAATAATGATCTACATGAGATCAAATCGACATTGTTTTATGCACGCTGTGATTGTTTCTATGACGTTACCTTCCATCCAGTCAGCATGAAATATTTACATAAAATTAATCTTAATTTGTTGCGCCCGCTAACAATAGGCCAAGGTTGGGGCTCTGGGGCTGTTTACGAGCATTTGTCTGTTTCCCCCAAAGTCAACTCGTAGACTAACAATAGGAAAGCAACCCTTAAAAGCAGCCATAGAACGTTAGAACAAACAAGCCCCAAAGACAGCATGCACACACACACGCGCGTACCCCTCACACAGTTTCCCAGTCTTGCACATAATTTATAAATCACCACAAAAGTAATTGTAATTGTTGAATTATTTAAGCGACTGGCAATAAACCACAAAATTTGCTTCAGGCCAAGAAAATGCCAAAAAAAAAAGTTGACTTTACGGCTTGTTGACGACAAAGGCGAAGTTGCATGAGTGCCTGGAGCTGCTACGAACCAATTAAAAATGTCTGCCTCATGTTGCTAGGCACACACACAAACACACACTCACACCTCAGTATATTAATGAGTAGCAAGGGCCGTTGGCCGTATGTGAGTGAGGAGCACTTTACCAGCTGCTTTCAAGACATCAAAATAATTTCAATACCCTTTCCGTTTCCCATTAAAAGCATTTCCGGTTGGCTCGCACTGGACGCACATTTCCACGCGAGTCACGAGACTTGACAAATGGGATGGAGACACAAAAGGAGACAAACAAAACTTTGCCTAGCACACGCGAATTTCTTTTACATGTTTTTGTGGACCCAAAACAGGTCCTTCTTTTTTTAGGGCTGATAATTAAAATTAATTACGCTTGTCCGGTGCTGGTGATATGCAGGATTTATGCAGCAAAAGTTGTGCAACGTTAACTCATTAAATCGACGTGGCCGCAACACTGAAAATTACTTTGCACCAAAAGCGCAATGTGAGGAAAAGCTGGAAAATGTGTAGTCCAAACGATCAAAATTGCTTTTGTTCGCATGAAGGCAGCGGCTGTTGCTGTCGTTTCTCTGTTATTGTAAATCAATTAAAATTTATATTGAGCCGTGCCAGCAACATGCCTCGAGTCCGGAGCCAGCCTCTGGAATGCCACCAACCGGGCTGGATGTTGCAGTTGCATTTCGACCTGTGGCCAATATTATTTCCATTTATGCTGCCTACCGCTGCAGCGTATGCATTGTATTTTTTAATTTCTCCCAAACACGTGGATGCATCCATTTTGGTTTTTTACTGCCAACCTTTTATCGCCAGACAGAAGTGTGCGTAAAATTATTTTAATGCCGCTGGGAAATGCACCAAAAAAACGGGAAATAAAATAAAATAAAATAATAAATTGAGGCTGTCCGTAAATGAAGAATCTTGCTTGTGGCTAGCCTCTGCGACTGGTTGTGTGTGTGTGTGTGTGTGTGTGTGTGTTTACTGTCTGGCAGTAAAAGCAGTATTTGAATTGCTGACTTTTCCTCAAGTTATTTACAATTAACTTGAGAATGAAAAAGTAAACAATCTATTAGGACTTTCAATAATCAAACATAACATAGAAAGTAAATAATATGCACAGCTTTTATAAAGCTTTAAACTATATTAAAACTAATTTCAAATGTTAGTTCTAACTTTTGAGTATTTGATGTAATCTTTAATTTGCAATTTGTTTTTTTGCCAATTGTGCAGCTCTTGTAAATCTTTCTCTTGCCAATCGGTTCAAGATTCGTAAGTGGATTTTAGAACCAGTTTCACTCATGCTTCAACATGAGTAAGAACGAGACAGAGACTAACTCTCGGGGCAAGGGCCGAGAAAATGCCAAAGAGTTGAACAACAAATTTGTCAACCAAGCAACTGCAAAATGAACGACATTTGAGTACAGTTTGCATTAAAAGCTTATACAAAAGCTGCAAATCGTGCCAGCAGAGGGAAAACAGGAACAAGGACAGTAAATAAGTAAAGCAAGGCACAAAGGACATTTGACTTAATTTTCTAGTACTTCGTTGTTATTGTTTTTGGCCTGTGGCTGAGCCTAAAAAGTAGTCGAGATTCATTGACAAAACTGCCTACCAGTCTCTCTCACTATCTCTCTCTCTCTTTCTCTTGTTCTTTCTCTTTCTCTCTCTCAGTGTTATTTCTGTTCAAGTGGTTATGAAAACAAAAACACTACAAAACGTGCCTATAAATTTTAAATAGCCAACAAGAGAAAATACGCCCCTCTCTCTCTCTCTCTCTCTTTGTCTCTTTCTCTCTCACACACACACAGCTGCCTCATATGATTGTGCGTGAGCGTGATGCATCATAAATAGATGCATGCGTGTGCGTGTATGTGTTCTAACTTAGGCAGACTCTGACCTAACTAGCTAGGCAAACGACCGCAAATTATGCCACGCAACGTTTGTCTGGCAAATATCCCAAGTAATTTACCGTCTCCTGTTTGCTTATTGCAGGTATCGCAACGGCGATATTGTTAACGTCAACGATACGGATCGCTACCAGGGCGGCAACTCGGAGAACGTGGCGCTGGTCATTAAATCCACCGATAAAGAAGATATTGGCAACTACACCTGTGAGCTATCGAATTCCGTTGGCAAGGGCATCTCCGAGCAGCAAATTGATCTCGATGTGCAGTGTAAGTTGGAAAAATCAAATATCAATATAACTGACTCTTAAGTTCGCCATTAGAGGTCCAATTCATTCTCAAATATAATTCCAAGCTGCTTTTTAATCTTCTTATTATTCTGTCAACTGCAGACGTGCCGCTGGTCGAGGTGCAGATGATACCCGAGGGACCCGTCAAGGAGAGCGATGAGTCAAATGTAACCCTGTTCTGTAATATTTTGGACGCCAATCCATCGGTGCTAACCAAAGTGCGTTGGTATGCCAATTCCACATTGCTGAAGGAGCTGCCCGATTGCGAGGAAACAAGAGTAAGTTGTCCTTTTCTCCCTCTCTCTTTTTGTTTCAAACTGACCAACTTCTGTTTCGCGCAGGAGGATTTATGTCACATTGATCCCAGCAAGCTGCTGCTCGAGAGCATTGGTCGCGGCTTCTTCTATAATTATTCCTGTGAGGGCTACAATGCTGCTGGCTGGGGACCACGCAGCGAGGACAAGGAGCTAATGGTATGCATAACAACAAACACAGTCACGACTAGCCACATTCATTCTCAGCTAAAATTAATGCTGTTTTTTCTCTCTATCTGTCCGCCTGACAGGTGCACTATGAGCCTGGACCAGCCACGCTGACGCACTTTCCACCGATTGCTATTAAGAAGAAGAGCGTCATCTTTTATTGCTCTGTGGATGATCCGGGCTACCCCGAATCGAATAGGTTTGTAGCATCACAAGCCAGCAAGAACAACATTCACAACACATCCACACCACAAATTGCATATCATACCGTGCAAGCCCTGCTGCCGCATGAAGCAGATTCAGCTTTCGAGGCGCTGCTGTTGCAAAGCCAACAGGAACAAAGGCAACAACTAGAGCGGCAGCGGCATCAGCAGCAGCTGCCACAGCAACAGCAAATGCGACCACAACATAATTTGATTAATCCCACACACATATCATCAACATTATCAACATTGTCCAGCATGAGTGCAACGCATTCAGCAGCTCATGAAATTAAAGAAACGCATGCTCTAATCGATTTACATTTGAATCATTCCCTTTGTACATTGCTCACGCTCACCACCTACATGCCACAATCACAAATCTTAACCCTGTACAATGGGGGCCATCCATTCGACTATTCATCCGAATCCACCACCGCATCCTATGCACTCTACCGCAAAATGGGCAAATTCATGTATGTGGCTCAAACGCTCTCGCAACCCAACAGATACCGTTGGCTGCGTGGCGGCCGCGGCCCGCTGCAGGACATTGTCACCAAGGAATGGACCGTCGAGCCCGTCGGCCTCGATAGCCGCACCAACTACTCCTGCTATGCGTACAATGAGGGCGGCAAGGGCGTAATGGCCACAGTCAATTTGGAAGTACATGCACCGCCATTTTTCATCAAGAATATGCAACCCTACACGGGCGTGCTGCACTCCGTCTCCAACTTCAATCTGACCTGCCGCATCGAGTGTGTGCCCCGCTGTGAGATCGCCTGGCTAAAGGATGGCACGCCAATTGACAAGAATGATACCCGTTACTTTGTCAAAGAGAAGTATATGGACGCATCCCCGGCCACTGGCGATTTCGAGAGCATGCTCTCAGTTCTGGTAAGTACATCCATTGCAGTGTAATCGAGTTAACGGAAAGGAAACTTAAACCAACTCTACAACAGTTGATTTAAGGTATTTGGAATATAAAAGAAAATGAGTAAATAAACAATTTGACGGCTGGGGTTGACTCTGTATATACTTCTGTTTATAAATTGTTTTAAATAGTGATATAAATGAATCATATATTAATTCCAAATAAGAATATATTTCAAAATGGGCAGCAAAAAACTCCTGATATATAAAATTTTTAAAGGCCATAAATTCCTTACGAAAAAATTATAACGTTAATATTGTGTTAAACGAGAGAGTATAACTTTACCTTCTGCCTTCTGCATTCAATCTCACAGCGACAATATACCCCATTTTACCAAAGGGTGCAGGGTATGAAATTCCTTTCAATAACATAACGAGTTGCAAATTAGGGAATCTTCACAAGAACTAAGCCCACAATACAAACGCCAACACGTCAGAGAATTCATAATAAAACTGAGTAAAATAAATGCATGAACATATTAAGTACACTTTAGCCGGTCACCCCTGAAATAAATAAACCACATCCCTTTCCACTTCAGCTTGCAGCGCATTTAACAAATCGTTCCAATTATAATATGACAGAAATTCAACGAAATTCTCAATTCAATATTTTTATTCCATATCAATTACGCGTAAAATCCACTCGTGTCATATGAACAACTCAATACATAAATAGCTGTCTATTCAATGCTCAATAATTTGGACTGCCATGGCAAACAAAATGCCAATTAATTTGAATTGTTTATCTGTTTGTAAAAAAAAGAAGATAAAAAACAAAAAAAAAGGCCGCACGGCAGCTGCGACTCGCGCAGCTATAGCCACAGACTCAGACGCGGTATCAAAATTCATCCCCAATTCACGTAAATGACATATTTTCATGTTTTTATTTTTCTTTTATTTTCTGCAAACCGATTACCAGCACTTCAACATGTCAAATTTTCCGAATAAAAAGTTCGACATCGAATCGGATAACGCCAAATACATGTGCATATCGACGGCAAACGCGGTGGGACCGACAGTAAACAGCACCACCTACTTGAGCATTGAATGTGAGTATTGCCCACCAGCTCATGACAGTCACATAAAACTGACTGTGACATCTCCTCTGTCACTCCTCTTTGTAGACGCACCGAATAACATCAGCGTCTCGGAGAATATTGTCTACGTGCAGGAGCATCATATACCAGGACGCGTCATATGCAAATCGCAAGCTAATCCAGGTAAATGAATTTCCATTTGTGCGTCAGGATATGTGGATGCAAAATGCAACTATTTTCCCATTTTATAGAACCTTCATATGAGTGGCTATATCCCAACCAGACTGTAACCATGGGCAATACGCTGATTATCAATGATCCCATTAAGCGCAATGATACGGGCATCTATAGATGCAGAGCCCGCAATAAGCATGGAGATCGTATTGCCGAAACTCTCATCGATGTTCAGTGTAAGTTTTCGTTTTAGCCAGGGGAATTGAATTGCAGCTGTGTTTCCATTTGTTATGACTAATTCCTCACTTCTACTACGTATTTCTTTTTTTTCGGATATAGTTACGCCGCGCTGTGAAATCGAAAGGCGAGAAATCGATGATCAGGATACACTAATTTGCACAGCATACGGAAATCCTCAAGAGGTGAGTGTCAATGATAAATAAAGGCAAACGCAACTGTAAACAAGTGTGTAAAATATACAAATATAAAAGACGTAGTTTAGATACTCTATATGTCGAATGATTTGCTTAGATATTTGACCAAAAATGTGCTCTACTTATTGTATTCAAAGTCCGTCTGCCTTTTAAAAAGAATCTGCTCAAACACTCCCAATAATTTATTTTGACAAGTGGGTCAAAAAAAAATCGTGAACAGCTTAAAAGCGCATTGCAAAAAGTAAACAACAAGTAAATCTTGAAAAATTCAACTATGAATATGTGTATAATATTCTATGTATAAAATACGAGTACAGTATTTCGAAACTAGTGTGATGGACATAGATGAACATTAATTTGAATCGAAGAAAGCCCTGCACTTGACCAATATTGTACTTTTAATATTGCGAATTAATTGTGTGTATGTAACATAATAAAATATGATTGTGTTAAAATGACATTGCAAAAGTAAACAACAAATAAATGCCTACAACGAATAGTTACATGCATCTATACCTTATAGCACACGTAAAACATGATAAACTTATTGTGATGGACATTTTCATATATGAATGTCAAACAGTCTAATACTTCGTAATACCCTCACCTAGAGCACACTCAAAACAAAGGCAAGCTTCTGCGTGACGCTCAACCCAAACTACCACAAAAAAAAAGAAAAAAAAGAATTCCGATTCCCATCGCAGGCCATCGAAATGGTAATAACGATAGCATTTCAATTGTGGTGCATGCTGATGGGTGGTTACAGCAACGGATAGAGCTTTGGTTGTTTTTTTTTTTTTTGTGTTCGTTCAGTTCTCTTTCCATGCAGGTAGCTGCAAGTATTTTCAATTTTATGAGTTTACCTTTTGGACGGAACCCGGATCTCCTGCTGGCTACAACAGTTGCAGCACCAACTGCCAACTCGACTCTCAACTTCAGTTTGGAGTTCGCACTTTTTGCCATGCCGCATAAATCAGTGCAACATTTTCTTTTTTTTGCATTTTTTCTTTTTTTTTTTAAAATTGCATTTGCTTTGCCGTTACTTGAGTTAAAGCGTGCTGGCGATTAAGGCAGGAGGGAGGACAAGAGTAACCTGCAGGTTGGCCCAAAGATTTATTGCCACGCAGCAACCGCAGCGAAACGAGTCTTGCCTCTGTGTATGCATGTGTGTATGTGTTTGCGGAGCAAAGTCGGTGGCTCGTAATTATTTGATTGGAAATTATTCAACGGGCGTAAAGCTAAAATTTAATAACGCTGCATGCAATCAGATGAGAAATTGATGCGAATCGATGTTGGGTGTGCCAGAACTAAGGTAATAAGAGCAATGAGATACATGAGCTTAAAGTTATTCAACTGGCCAAAGAAAACTGCCAGTTTTCCGTCTAGAATATAAATTTCGTTCAAAAAGTGCATTCGAGAAATATCCAGTAGCCTTTTTATGGCTGAGGTAATCATTGAGTAATGTGAAAGAGTACTTGTTTTATATTTAAAGGCATGAAGGCAAACTGTTCTTTTGTTCTATCTCTGCCTGGTTTTCAAATGGCAAACAAATCACATTCGAGTAAGCCATGTGACAGGTTTCAAATGCAGTTAAGTCAGATCGGCCATGTCGTTCAGCTCAATGCCCATTAACCAAGACTGAAAATCTGCCCCAAGAACGCTGGCCCTCAAAAATGCCAAAACCAAATACAGAACACAGCCTCGGAATGCAAAGAAATATTGCAATGCAAGAGAAAATTGTTAGGACAAACAAAAGAGAAAACCTGAATTACCAAAGTGCAAAGTGAAATTCCGCAAAACAGCCGAAAAGGTGCAGACATCAAAAAACATGGACTTGCATAGGTCCATTTGTACTCGATTCCTGTGTGCTCAACTCTTTCTAAATCTCAATTATGCTTTCCCTCTATCTCTCTTCCTCTCGCTATCTCTGTATATTGCAGGCTGATTTTTCATGGTCAATTAAAGCTGAGAATGAAACAGTCGAAACGCTGGGCGCTGGCGACAAGAAGACCTTTGCGGACAAAAGCTTTTACATACTGCAGGAGGATTATGCCATCGCCAGGACCTATAGATGTGTGGCCAACAATTCCGTTGGGCCCGGCGCATTCTGTGAGATTGAAGTTGCTGGTGAGTAATATTCCAAAAAAGCACGAAAACAAAATTTAACAAAAAAATCAACAAGTAAAAAGCAGAACATTACGGAATGGGACGAAGCATCGGAAGCTGATTACTGTCAATATTTGCTTCATCTGTTTCCGTTTTCCGGTGCTTCCTTTTTTTATGCTCTGCATAAAATGTTGGCTAGCTGCTTCCGCTTTAAACTAAAATGGCGGCCACGTCTCCGCTGGCTGCGGCAATTAGGGCATTGTTTGGCGCCCAGCAATTCGCATTGCCACCATCATCCCCTGCCGTTTCCCTTTGCTTACCTGTTATTCTTAAATGCGCCACGTTTTATTACAACCCAACGGAAATTGATTTCTGCGCTTTTTCCTTGCGTCCTTTACAAAGAAATCAGTCGAATTTTCTTTTATATTTATTTTATTTTTTATGCGCTCTGATTTTCTTCAGCTGCTTAAGTCGTGAATTTCACTTGGTTTTTCCGCGATTCTAATGTCTGTCAAATGCACACAACTCCCCACGCCCCATGCTCGTTGCCCAGCTTCCAGCTAATCTGCCAGCTTCACTGTGTCCACTTGCTATGCCACTTTCTGTACCATTTCATTGATTGAATTGAAATTGAAATTGAAATTTGACAGCTGATGACGTCAACATTTTTTTTTATGGTCCACTTTATATTTTAGAGCTGAGCGACGTCTTCTAAAATTGGCAATGGCTTTGATTTATGTACTCTTATGTAATTTGCAGCCCACAAGTTATTATCGAAACCCTTCCAGCTATTATCCCAAACTCTTTCTTTGGTCATAAATATTGTTTATTATTTAGACAAAAAAAAATATAAAAAAAAGTGTAAAGTTTTTGGTTTTCTATTTTATATTAACAGCTGGTTCAGCACTTTATATTTGGTGGCAAGGTAAATGCCGTAAAATTTCTCACTTCTTATGAGTTTACATCCCACTTCCTTTTTATTTACCTCATTTGTTGAGTTCTTTCAATTATTCCCATTAATGTTAGCTGATGTGAAAAGAATTGAAAATATTTGCTTAATTCCAATTTAGTATTGAGCAGCAGCAAATTGATTGGGTCAATCCTGTGAATTAACATACATATATGCTATTCTCTGTCTTTTCCATTTGCTTTTAAATATAATGCTAATCCCATTTTATGCCTCACTAACGAATTTGAAACGCTTCTAATTAATTAGTGCGACCAAAAAGTAAGTAACTGCATGTCTAAATACTAAAAACATTAATGTAAATGCAATCAATTAATTATATTACTTAGGAACAAAGATCTGTTGAGAATTTTTAAATGCTTGTATTCTTAAGAAATTTGTAGAAAAATTGTTAAGAAGGGTTTCTCAATAATTCATGATGTATTTACATATATATTAGAGCCGACTTAAATTGATAATTATATAGTAATTTTTAGGTGAAGTAACTCAAGATTTTTGAATATTTATTTGCCATTTTGTAAAAATATCAAACAGTAGAAATTCGCATTGGTAATTATGCAATGGCCGGCTACAACAATCTTAAAGCTATAAACAATGCTGCAGTTGGCATACATATACACAAAAGCCGCCGCTGTGCCACATTCCAACGTTAATCCACATAACCAAACATATAAACACACACACACACGCACACACACACACACACACGCGCACACGCAGCGAACTAAAACTAAAAGCCGCCATTTTTCATTTGTCGCTCTCTCGCTTGTTTAATTGCATAAGATAGGAAACGGATAGAAGGGGAGGCTTAGGGCCTGGCTGCTGACTACTAAATGTTGTTGACACGCGAATCCGCACACGATGCCAAAATGAATAGCTCATAACATATGTGAATACACTCAGAAAACAAATACACACGCCAACAGAGATAAACGTTGCCACGAAACAAAGGCGTCTGCCACACACTACACACACACTACACACGCACACACACACACACACATAGAGTGCGCACTGCTGGCAAAGACAATTCATTTGTTTGGATGATAAACAGCTGAATTATAGCAAATATGGAAAACAATGAGAGACGAGCCGGCTGAAGGATGCCGCTCCAGCTGCCTAGCACAATTTCATAAGACAATGCCACATTGCGTGGGCATGACGGGGACATTGGCCGGGCGCGGGCCCGGGTGGTACGGGTGCGGGGTGCATTCTAAGTAAAACATGAAATGCATTTGTATGTGCGGAACTGTTGCCGCTGTCGTTGCCGCTTCCCGCTGCTGCATGGTTAATGCCGTCGGTCCCTGGCATAGCAAAACCATGTGACAAGTTGATAAATTAAAGTTAGCTGACAAGCAACTGCAGCAGCAGCAACAGCAGCAGCAGCTAAGTCAGACAGTCAGTCAGTCAGTCAAGTGGCTAAGTAGGCAGACATCGGGCTTAGCTCAACTGTCAGTTGTAAAGAATTGCATGTATTGTTAAGTTCTGCCTATGCTTTAAGTTTGCAACGAGTTCGCGCTCAAAAGTATGCTATATTTTAATGCTCATCTCTGTCGCCCTCTCTTTCTCTACCACGCCCACTTCCGTTTTTCTTTCTGCAGAACAACTGGCCTGGTGGCAGCGCTGGGACAAAACGACGCTCATTATACTGGTTGCCGCCATATTGGCCTTATTGCTGGCCGTCATTATTATTTGCTGCATAATTATATGCATATGCCGTCGCCGTCGGCGTCAGGATAAATGTGAGTACAATAATAACAAGAATTAACGCAAAATGACTGCGAACAGTCTGTTTTGTCATGTTATGGAAATTTTCCCCAAGCATAGTGTTAGGCCCTTTGAACAAACCGAAAATAAACAACCAAAGCCTACAATATGAGTTGAAATTATATTTGAACTATTTATGCCACAAACTTGAATTGAACATTCTTCTGGCATCTTTTAAGAAGTTATTTTTAAGGATTATTTCAGTTGAATTTTGCCTGTAAAGCAGCATGTCCAGACCTTTGCATGGTTATAATTATTTAAGAATATAAGAAAACATCTGCTTAAGTGCATGAAAAATCCAATTATTCAACAGAACAGGTTACAGGACACTTCCCATAGCTTTATGCCCATTTCACAGAAATATATAACCTGTTCACCTTATAAGTGTGCCATTTAAATAACATAGCTTTTCTCTGTTGAATGCATATCAAATCCGATTATCCCTGCTGCCTCATTGCATGGGCCAAGAACTCTATTTATTTAATTTGTTTTTTGGTTTGTTGTTTTGCCTTGATTTTAATTACTGGCTTAAAGCTTTTGTGCTGCGCTTTGCTGTGAAAATTTTGCATATTTGCATTTAATAAATCCGTACAGGGTGATGCAATTGTTGCTTAAACAACCAGATTTATGCTCCTGAACCGTTTCATAATAAATTTCACAAGAAACCAACGAAAATTTGATGGCTTCACAAATTATAATAAACTATCAAATACACCCTGTATGGAATATACACCTTTATACATTTAATTTGATAGATTTATATTATGTTTATACAAAATTATAATTATGTATTTTTTTCATGTTTTCGTTTTTCAATCATAAACGCTTTATATACCCATGTTTATATTATTGAATTTGTGGGAATGGTAATTTTGTTCGATTCAATGTTTAATACTTAAACAACAACAAAAACAAACTCCACATCCAAAACAACAACCACATCAATGGCATAAAAAAATACATTAATTACAAACCCACAACAATAACAAAAACTATCTACAACTAATTAACAACCACAACGAACCCAACAAACTACAACAAAAATAAATGGCTGTTATTTGTTTTATTCATTTTCATTTTTTTGTTGTTTTCGTATTGTCTGCAACAATTTTAATTAATTTACAAACTATTTTTACAAACTATCGCTTACAATCTATCTATCTGACTCATACACTTGTGTATATTACATATTGTTGTCTCAATGCTGCTTCACTTAATAATTGCTCGCTGTAACAACCACAACAACAACAAACAACAACAACAACAACAAACAACAACAACAATAACAACCACAATACATTAAACGATGCTTTCAATGCTTTGCCAAAAAAAAAAAAACGCGCCAAACTCTTCATATTGTGCTACAATATCAACAACAACTACAAACAACATACACACACACGCACACACACTTGCATTATAACAACAACAACAACAACAACAACGACAACCAAATCTCATTTGATTTAAATTCATTTGGTTAAGATCATACGGAGGTTTCCATAAGCGCCAACCAAAGGTAAGTGCTGCATTTAATTGTTATTAATTAAAAATATTCAAGTATTTTTGAAAATGTATGCAAAGACTTTTATGTTTCATTATTTAATTTTTATAAATGTATTTCAAATTGAAATCTCTTTATTTCCGAATTGGACTTTGCTTGGGTCTAAAATATTTCAGATGCGCTATACGAACAATATTAAAATTTTGAAAATTTTATTAAGAAAGTTATTTGATTTATGATTGAGATTAAAAAAAAAATTTAATTTGAAGGAGCATAAAAAAGTTGCGCAACAAAATTCAGACTGTTGAATATTTAAGGGAGAAAAAACTTTCAAACCTTGCTGAGGTCCAAATAAAAATGTCCGATAATTAAGTCTCTGCTAAAACCATTTGAGAATTATAATGCGCACTCCAGAAATACCAAGATGTTTGGTAATCTATTTATACGCTGAAAGCATATATTTAATTTAATTTCCGATCGAATTTCGTACTCAAATATTTAAACAAAATTGCTTAAAAAAAATTTAATACATTTTTTAATAGTTCTAGTGTTGAAATGTGCATGCTTTTTAAGACTTGCTTATATTGTAAACGATTTTAATTTGTTTTATTTTTATATTTTTTCCAACACCACCTCGTTTTTTCGTTGCATATATATCAATTACTTATTGTGCGCACCCAAAAACAACAACAACTATATAATCAACTGTAACTTATGTATCATCACATGTACCACATATTATACGTATATATACAAATTGAATTCCTGTTCGTATCGATGTGCGTGGCTTATAATCCTTTGTTGCTCGCTTGCTTAATTCAAATACACGCTTACCAAATGCCTAACATCGAAAACAACAATTATTGCAATGGCAAAACATACGCATACGCATACGCATACACCCACGCACACACACATGCCATACACATGCATACTGCATATCACAGCGTGCTATCCTATCAGCCGGTCTTGCCGCAAGTGGGCGTGGCCTTGCCTATACAAGACACAATGACGGCAGATGCGGCCACATTGTTGCCCGCAACCCTACTGCCACCGCAGCAACAGCAACAACATCAACAAAAGCTCGCTACGGCCGAGAACAACAATGAGCTGGCCACGCCTCTGCCCACAACGCGCAACAGCTCATTGCATGCCACAGTACCAAAATCGCCGCCACGTTGGCCACTGCGGCCAGGTGTCATGTTGCACGTGAGCAGCGACACTAAAGAGAATCTTGCCGTGAATCGCATGACACTGAAACCGAATCCAAATCCAAACACAAATCCCAGTGCAAATGCGAGTCAATTGTCGGCACAGCTGAGCACCATGCTGAACGATAGCCAAACTAACTCAAACAGCACAATGCTAACCGAGGTGGCGGTGACGGTGATGGAACAAGCAGCAGATACAGCAGCATCGACAGCAACAGCAGCATCGCCCGCAGCAATTGCAACAGCAGCAGCAGCTGCAGCTGCAGCAGCCAACCGTAGGCTGATGAAGACTAATCCGACTGACATTGCCTTGCCATCGACAGATGCAACAGACGCCGCTACAGCTGAGGCAGTGCCAGAGCTAACTGCCTGCCTGGCCAATCCGACTGCAACAACAACTGCAACAGCAGCAGCAACAACGACTGCCGCTCCCAGCAGCATACAGCGCATTTTGGACTTTGTTTTCAGACGCGCGAAGCGGGCGAGCGACGATGGTACCCGGGACAGTCAGCGCAGCCATGTCGGTCTGTTGCAGACATTTTGGCGTGGGCGTGGCAGCCAAGAATCGCCCTTTGCGGCACAGCATCGCCTCAAGGGCATACGTTGCAGTGGCAGTGGTAATAACACATACATCTTGGACGACTATCAGCCCGTTTGTTAACTTATGATTTTTATTTTTTATTTATCGTTTTCCTTTTATGTTGCATCGCATTGCGTATCATGCACACACACACACACGCGCACGCACACACACACATGTATCTTCACGTATCGCTAGTCACCTACAAAAAGACGCCCACAGCAACAGCCACTAATTCAACCACAACAACAACAACAGCAGCGCCAGCAGCAGCAGCAACAACAAACAATCCCAGCAGTGCCCAATCACATGCCTCTGTGACATTTCAAGCGCCTTCATTAGACAAGACGTCGCCAACAGACACCGCAGCAACAACAACAGCGGCAACAACAACACAAGCAATACCCGCAGCAGCAGCGGCAGCAGCAACAGTCCACGCTGGGCCTGGCGTGAGCTGCTTGGATCAACCGCAGCGCCCAGGCATATTGAAGTGTTCAACGCCCCCGCCGCGCCCACCGCCACCCATATTGCCGTTGCGTCATGGCCCTGGACAACAGCAGCTGTTGACCAGCAGCGGCCGCAGCAACATACACATCAGCAACAGTGGCAACCGGCCGCCTCTGCTCAAACGCACCGTTGTGGTGTCACCCAGCAAAGTCGAACGCGTCCAAAGTAAGAAGAAACTCACAAGTCATCTCATATATAGCACATATACAGCCCAAGATTCATTCACTCGCCCAAACCACTCTGCTCGTTGTGAACTCATAAATCATTTACATCGATTGCATTTTCAATTGAATTTTATGCCGTGTAGCCTATCTTTATTAATACTCTGTACATTTTGCCACAAATATCTCCAAGTGACTTTCGTATGCTCTAAACGTGTTGGTAATATTATTAGCCAAAGGTGACTAGGCAAATGTTTCATGCTGCCACCCCAAAAAGAATACCTATATGAATTTACAGTTTAAGGCATAGAAATTTATTTGAAAAGCAATTGGGGGCTCATTGAAAAAGCTGAGTTGCAATTTCAAATGATTTGAAGATGAGACTCAGCATAGATTACTAAATTATTTGCAATAAAAAAATCTCTTCTGCAACACAAACGTTAAAGATTATAATAAGGCTGCAAAACGGGTTTTAAACGAAACGGTTCGAGATCGTTATTCTTACTTATTTTCCACAATAAAGTGACCTTTAAATCAGAAAAGGGCCGAACGGAAACCCAAAGCAAAACATTTTTTTTTTTTAATTTATAAACATTTTTAAGCGATGTGTAGAACCATGGTTTGAACCGGCGCGCTGGATCAAACCCTATACGAATTTATCTGGGAGCAATAAACATTTTTATGCGATGTGGCAAACCATGATTTGAACCAACACACTGGCTCGAACCAGTGATGTAATTTTTGTAAGAATTGCAGCCTTGGTTTTTATAATGTGAAACACTTCCGTCATCTTCTCAATCATATTTCCGTCACAGTCACAGTCTCTCATAGGTTCATAACAAACCCATTTTATCATTAAACATTGTGCATACATACACACACATACACACACATGCATACTCTCATTTATTTTTTTCGCCATTTTCCTAATCTGTATCTCTTTGTGCCACAAACAAATCGCTGTAAGTAATTTACTTTAACGAATCAAGCGTCGAGGTCCTTATATAAGAAACAGAGAAGCGACAAGTAAGAGAAACGCATAACTTCAAAAGTCTATAGAACCAATAAACATGAAGAACATCTGCTAACACAACGAGAAACTTGTCTTTAGTCAAAACTATCGATGTTCTTATTATTAATTAAATATTTAATTTCCGTTTGGCTTGCAATTTTTCAATATTTTCATGTTGCCTGCTTGTGTATTGTCCTGGCCTGTGCGTGTTTCGCATTTCTGCATGAATTTCATATGTAATAAAACGAAGTAAAACTTCAAATCGAATAAAACTGAAATATTATGTGACTATAATTTCTATAGGTTTACAATTTAAGTTGAAAAGTCTTTAGCTTAGGTGTATGACAAAAAAATATTAAGTTTAATTTTAGTATACATTTTTTTAGCCTCTAAACCTTATAATTTTATAATTGACTAATTATATTCTCGTCTATTCTTTCCAATTATTTTCGGTTCTTTTTTCTCATTTCGAAAAAACAAAAATGATTTAAAAAAAAAAAATGTTTAAAAAACCCAACGCTAATCGCCAAATCAACCGATCCGTATACGTATACTATATAGTACACGACAAGTCGTCTTCACTGGGGGATCCATTGACGGAACCTGGCGAGTATGAGAATCTACCGTTTCATGGTCTGCAAACGGCACCTAACAAGGTACAGTTAACATTTTTCTCTTATTTTTTTCCAATAACATAACCTAGAAATGTTTTCAACATACTTAATGATGAAACGAGTCGTTTAACACGCTCATACACGAATACACACGCACACGCACACTCACACTCACACTCACACGCACATACACACATTGCTAATCTCGCCTCGTATTACTATGTACTATATACATATGTATAAGTCTAAGCTTTATCTCAGTATATTGCCTCTTGTCTATGTCTATCTCTATCTCTGTCTGACTTATAGTTTTTCTGGCCTCTAGTGTTATGCCAACTTCTATAAAAAATTGATTTCTTTTATTTGTGTAATTTGTTTGACGTTAAAGCAAAGAGAAAACTCAATGTTTTAGTTTTTTGTTATTTAAGTAAATATATTGTATGGAGAGGTGTCTATCTTAGCCATTTACGAGTAGCATATAACTAGCCTACTCCCTTCGCTTTTTTGCTCTCCATTGCCTAATGATATCTCTCATTCATCATTCATTTGTCATTTGTGTCATCTTTTTCATATTCTTTGTTTTATTTCTCGATTTATTTCTTTTTCATTTATTTACAAGCAACATCCAAAATCAAGAATATCCGTTTCAGTTTACGCAAAGAAACGGAAATAATCATGATTTATGTGTCGTCTAGTGAACTTTTTTTTAAATATTTTTCCTTAAATTTAGTTTCCCTGGCTTTGGTATCTATGGTATTTTTAAGACGTATTCCATTTATTAATATGAAATCCAAATTGTTGTGTATATTTAAATATTATGTAGCATGTAGTATGTAAGTTTTTTACGATTTGATTTATTTTTATTATTGAAGAGAACTTTAAACAAATGTGAAAACACTAAATTTTGAAAATATGCGAGTTAAATGGGAAAATTTAGAGGCAGAAAATATACAAAACAAATTGATCTTAAAGTCAAAAAGACTTATTTTATGCGAGTCTTATGCTTTAAAGCAGTGTTATTAAGCGCTTTAAATTAAAATAAACTTGACTCAGGCTCAAGTAAATGTTATAAAAATATTATCGATCTCCAATGCTGAGAATATTCAGTGTTAATATAATGTTAAAAATAAAGTTCCCGTATAGCTCGCAGATTTACAATACACACAAATCCACATTCACTTTAAGAAACCTCCTCCCCTAACCTCCCCAAATATCAGTGTTGTTCTCTAGTACTGACACATGTTCCAATTACAACAGTTGATACAGTTCACCCACAGCTTCACAGTCGTAACTAACCAATATGCAAACATCCATAACTAACCAAGACAACTAATCGAATATTCTCTCTCTTAACTCTTTCACGCTGCTCCGCCGCATAACCAAATTAAATGCTGAAAAAAAAAATAAAACAAACGCCCCTTGCATGTGCCCGCATCCGCATTCGCATCGTATCGTATCCGTATCGTCTCGCATGGCAGTTCTCTACTACCCCTACAAATTTTAATAACAACACAAATGTGGTGCGCGTCGCTCCACGACCCAAGAGACTAAATGGAAATATTGGTCAAGCAATGAACAGCCAGCAGCTGCTGCATCACCAGACTCTTCAGCATCCGCATCCTCAACAGCAGCAAACACACTACTACGACCAACAAATGCAACAGCAGCAACAACAGCAGCAGCAACATCAGCAGCAACAACATCAGCAGTACAACACTTTGCAGTACGGGCGTGGCTGCACAGCCCCGCCCCCTCTTACGGCTCCACATAATCGCAGTCTGGATCAGCTCGAATCTAGCTCCGATCAAATACAATATAATCTAAGCAATTGCTTTCCCAAAAGCTACACCGAATACTATCAGCAGCATCATCATCAGCAGCAGCAGCAGCAACAAACGCAGCATCAACAATCTCAGCAACAGCAACAACAACAACAGTCGCATAAATTTCACACCAATTCCGCGTCCAATGCGCAGCTGTTGAATGCCATCGAGCATGATTATCAGCCCACATATGCGGTGGTTGAGCGTGTGCCACCGCCACCACCTGCGCCCAGTTCCGCGCTGCTCAACACGAATCCCTTTCTGGCCGCCAGCAACTTTAAGAAATACGATGCAGCCGGCGAAGAGCTGCTGGGCAGCATGCAGCGTGGCAAGCGCGGCAAGGCGGGAAGCCTGCTGGAGCGCATGGACATGGATAAGAAATTCTACTCACTGAAGTTTCCCAATGGCGCCAACAAGCTGAAGAAGCCGGCCTACAATCTGAATGCCTCGCTGGGAATGGCCACAACGACAACGGCGCCAAAATGCAAGCGGCATCATTCCTTTGCTGGTGGTAGCCATGGCGATATTGAATCCAACGGCAAGCCCATGCGCCTCTATGATCCGCCCGTCTATGAGAATGTGGCGGACAAATGTGGCGGCGACTTGGACATGGATATGGGCGGTGACGGCAGCAGCAGCAGCATTGGTCACACTATGAATCTGAATCATAATCTGAATCTAAATCTGGCCACAGTGCAGCTGCACACGCAGCCAGCTGCTGTCGTCTCGGCGAGCCACAAGAAGAAACATCACCATCGCCAGCACCAGAAAAAGGCTGATGCATCAGTTGGCGCCGCTGGCGCTGCAGCTGACTTTCAACTAATGGAGCCTGAACGCCTTAGCATTTATCGCAGCGATTCTGGCATATCCAATAGCTCCTATGAGTCCCAGCTGCCGGCACTGGGCCAGCGCACACCCAAAGCGCACAAGGCGGCATCCTCGGGCCTCAACCTGACCCGCAAGCCACTCTACATGAATGTGGAAGGGCAGCAGCAGCAACAGCAGCAGCAGCAATTGGCACGTGCCGGCTCACCGGCGCACAATATTAATTCGTCCTATGAATCCGCCTCGTCGGCGCCCGTCACAGATCCCACCTCGCTCAGCTCATCCAATTCGCTTTACAGCAGCGGCATCGGCACCGTCAGCTCGCGCTGTAATCGCCACTCGCAGCAGCAGCAGTCGCAGCAGCACCAGAATCAGCAGCATCAAAGGCAGCCAACGCCGGAAATCACAACACCTGAGGATTATGAGCAGTACCAACTGGGACATCAGCCAGCGCATTCCACCTCCATGCTGTCGGTGGCCAGCAGCGTAAGTGCCGCCAGTCGAGGCAAGTGCAAGTCCTCCAGCACGGCAACAATGCAACAGCTGCCACTTCGCTTAGGTCCACATGAGGTGCGTACACACTATTTCCATTTCGCATTAGGCATGGGCATCTGCATCTGGCAGGCAGCTCATTATCATGGGTGCAAAAACTTTAAATTCCACTCACAATTTTCAACAAGTCGCACAATTTAAGTTTAAGTTTTATTTTATTGCTGCCTCTTCTTGCGTCGCCTATATAATGGACGAGATTTGTTTTATGCTAATCGGGACAGGAACACATTTATTGCCAGCAGCTATTACATTTTCGAAATGGTGTGGTTGATTATTGCCCAAGCGGAATGGTTGAATTAAATACTTTAACAGGACTAGAGGTCGAAACAATTCTTATTCTATTGCTAGAAGTTTACTCGTTAGAGCAGACCTCAAAATAATACTTTTGAGACAAAAACAACCTTTAGAGCATGATTTCCAACTAATCCTTAGTTCATTTCAAGTCTGCAAACCAGGTTTCAATTCAAATTAGATTTTACTACATGTTGAAACTTTCAACAATAGCAGCTGTCGAAAAAAAAACCCAGTCCAACTAAAACCCGAAACCATCCATAATTTTAAAGTGAACAAATTTAAGGAAGACTCTTTCTAACCATATATTTTTGATATAAATCAAATGCTTAGAAGAACCGGCAATAATGCACACAATTAATAGATATTGAAAATCAAGTCCACGAAGACAGGAAACAGAGCTAAATCGAACAATAAAATGAGCAAGGCGCAATTTTCTCCACTTTTTGAATTAAACTACTTAAAATGTTATTTATTTTTAATTGATTGTATTTTTTAATTTACTTTTATGATTTACACTTTTTTTCTTTCACATGTCACGATTGCTTAATCTATATAATTTTGATGGAAACACACCACAAAAAAACCATATAATAATAACAACAACCACAACAACAACAACACAATCGCCATTGCATGCGCGAAATCGCATTGAAAACATTGCAACCACGAAACTAACCACAGCAAACGCAATTGTTGGCCACTAATCCATTTTTAGCACTTAAACGGAACGGCAACATCAGCAACAACAACAGCAGCAGCAACGACAACAAAGTCAGCAGCAATGCCTGCAGTAAGAAATTACGACGACAGACCATCAGCGACCCCTACGCACATATCAAACGGCATTATGCCGGCGATGCCGATGCCTCTGTTGCCAGAAACAACAACAACAACAACGACGACGGGAGCAACATCGCTGAAGCCCTTGCAGCCAACAGTAATAGTGGCCCCAAAGCCGCGACAGCAGCAGCATCAACGTCAGCAGCAGCAGCAACAGCAACGGCTGAGCAACAAATTAGCAACAACAACAACAGCAACGACAACAATGGGCTTGGGCATGGGCGGGGGCGTGGCAATCATCAACAACAAATGCTAATGCCAAATGAATTGCTGCTGCAGGCAAGTCAATTAGCTGCCGCCGACTGCAATCAGAATTTAAGATATGTACCGCCCATGCCAAGTGCCACGCCTATGACACAACCCCTGGCTGGCGCCTACGATTGCCTGGTGGTGCGTCGCCCGATGCGTCTGCCGTTGCGCAAACATCACACCTTCCATTTCCAGACAACACAAACGGCCAACGGCAAACTGCAGCAGCTGCGCCGCCAACTGCAGCAGCAACAGCAAGAGAGGGAGCAACAGCAGCGGGGGCAGGGTCCACTCATCTATCGTCCACTGGAGCTGAGTGAACGGCATGCCTTTAAGCCAATTTCACCAACACCTGCAACAACAACAGCGTCTGATTATGAAAAATGCCAAGAGAACGACACACAGCAGCAACAGTCGCAGCAAGAACAGCAGCAACAGCAGCAGCAGCGACCAGCGACGGGTCAACTTAATCCCGCTGCCTCATTAGAGGCATTAGAGGTGTTAACCAAAACGCATCCGGACTTTATGTTTGCCCGAACAAGCGGCCAACAAAGCGAGCCGCTTGCTGCTGCTGTTACTGCAGCAGCAACAACAACAGCTGCTGCTGCAGCTGTGGAGGAAGATGAGGATTTGGGCTACTCCTTTTGCGAGGAGGAGTACATGGTGGATGATGATGATAATGCTGATGATGATGCAGCAAGCCACAATCTCACGGCACCACCCACAACGCCCGCCCACAGCTCACAGAGCAGTGCAGCTATTGCAAATGCAACTGCGGGCGCACTGAGATACTTTCTAACTCAAAGCTATCGCGAGGTGCACATTTGAAATTCGAGGGGTGAGCGTTAGACACAAAAGATACAAATGAGAAATTGACGTTAGACAGGCCTAAATGACGCATACAAGGTATTTAGTAATTAAATAAAGCTGAGGGAATAAAAACATATTTATATTTAGCATAATTCAAATTCAAATGATATAAGTAAACAAAATAAGAGAGAAGTATCGTTCTTTAGTTACGAGTCACTAAAATAAATACAATAGCTTAGAGATTATTCGATCATCAAATCATTCAGCAAATGGTTCTCAATTTCATAAACTGGCATTTTGGCAGGGTGTATAACCATTTCAACAGTCAGTATCCAATATCGTCGTGATGCTTGCGATTCGCTATTGCCAACTGTTTACCCTGCTGTCATATTTTTCATCAACTTTTGCCAATATTTTTACGTATTTTTATAAATATATATATATATATATATATATATATATATATTTATTATTCATATATCAACTAATTGTAATAGAACATTTTGTGGCCCCTAGAGATGCCCAAAATACAACCTAATATGAAGAAATCGAATACACAGAAAGTCCACAGAGCAAAGTTGCAACTGTCAAGGCACTTATTGTTAGTGTACATAGTTAGCATAAATTTAAACTTGATGAACAAATATTAAAATTAATTTAAACTACAACTAAAGGAAAACAACCACAAATAATACACAAGCAAAATCAACGAGCATTATAAAGCTAAATACTAAACATTCCCAGAAGCACAACTAATTCATTCTTATATTAAATAAATATAGTTAATAATTAAGTATTATACTAAGGCAACTCTGACTGTATGTGTGTTAAGTTTGAAGTAGTTTTGTGTAATGTATACAAATGAATATTTAAACAATTTAGATATGTATGTGTAAGCACTTGTATTGTATATAGAAATGATCGGCTGCCCAACTTGAAGGTTTCTCTTACCACTGAGAGGCAACTGGGCGCAGCGTCTAGTTTATGTACTTGCTATTTATTTAATTAGTTGAATAAGAAAGAAAAAGAAACATACCATTGAAGTGAAAACCAAACAGAAGCCAAGCATTTTACTTAATTATTTAAAACCAATTATTTATTTTAATTACTTATAAATAAGAAAACCAAAGCAAATATTTAAAAAAGTTCACTTAAGCGGTATTAAATGCATTCTTCAAGCCTAACTCGCATAAACAAAACAAAAGCTAACAAGTTTTTTTTTCTAAAATTGAAATAAAAATATTTAAAGTGTGTTCTAAATTACATATTAATTTCTTATAGCATGTGTCCGATTTTGAGGATCCATACAAAGGCAGCAATACCTATATATTCTAAATTCTTTTTGTATAACTTTCCACTAAATATCAAATGCCCAGCTAAATGTTTTATGTCACAATAGAAAAAGGTAAATTAATTATTCGTATATACCAAATTTTTAATAAATATTACTTTCTGTTATGGTCAAATGTTAATAATTTATTTCAACTGTCGTTCTGCTGTCCATTGAAAATGATGATGATGATGATGATTATGATATTGATTTCAGTTTCGATTCTTAAAATCGCTCGATATGCTATCTAAAACACACTTTTCACGCTCAGTTCTCTCTCATTTGCTTATTTACAAATACGACAGGCGTTATAGATTATTAATATGCATGAGAAGTGCGCTTTCTAACAATTGTTTCAAGCATGTTCCATTTAATGGTATTGCATACAAAATAATTCTAAAGAAAACAACCTTCTCTTTTTCAATAATAATATAGCCACTGAATGCCGCAAGTTTCGATGATGAATTCATTTATGCCGATCTCGAGAGTCAGCATTATGGGCCCATCAATTACAAGGCCGCCTCGCTCTATGCCCAGGTCAAAAAGAACAAGAAAACGGGAGCTCTGGAGGAGCTGAAGCAATAATCTTGGAGACAAACGAACCTCCAAATATATTTTGCAGTGCATTTTGGTCTATTTTTTATGATGTTTATTCAATGAATAGTTGTTTATTTTTTATTATATAATCTTTTTTGCTTTGGTACTTAGCGCAAGCGAAATGCGGACGATTGAGCTTCTGTAAACTTAAAATCGAAAAGTGTTTAAAGCAAATGAATAACGAATTTCTTAACTTTATGAAGGCAAAAACAACAAAATGATATTAATTGTTATAACATAAAAATAATTAAATGAAAAATATATATATAAATACATATGTATATTATAAGTCACGCACTATATTAACTAGCAAAACATTTTGACAGTCAATACACATACCTAAATAGGCCCATTAACAACAGCAAAAACAAACAAAAACAAACCAATTACATAGTTTTTATCACTAAACAAAAACAAAAAACATAAGCAGGCATTGTACTTAGCAACAAGCGAATATATACATATATATGTATATCAAAATAAAAATTACCAATTAAAATCGAAAAGTAATTAACGGAAACAACATTAAAACGAAAACATTTAATATGCAAGCAACCACTAACTTTAGTTAAACAAGAAAAAATAACTAACTTCGGCACGCCGAAGATTGAATACCCTTGTAGATATATGGCTAACTATCTTGCAGACATGTCAATCGAATAGCGAAGCTTAAAGTTGCAGCGTTTGGTGAAAACTTCTTCAAAAAAATTTTGCCATATAAAATTTCAAATAGTTCATTGTTGGACTCAAAGGTAAGAAAGCAAAGGTGCGTCTTTACCTATGCAAAGGTTCACGAAGACAACTGTAAAAGTGAGGGACTTTTTGCATCGAAACAGTTGCACACGGAGTATATATAATTGATGGAGTCTAAGACGCCTTCATCTGCGTTACATATTTCGTGACAAAATTATAATACTCTCTACAAGGGTATCAAATATAAAAAAAAAATAAAATAAATACACGCATCAACAAACTTTAAAATATTTATTTATTTTATTTATGTCTTCTTTTGTGTATTTAAAATTAACCGCAAAACTATCAAACAGTTCCCAAATGCACACAATCATATAAAAATAGAAAATAAAAAAAAGAAGAGATTAAAAAAACCATCAAAACCAACACAAAGAGTTACGCAGACAAACAAAAAACCAGCTTCATTCGAGAGAAGAAAGAAAAAAAACAGGAAATAAGGAAAATTAGCATTAATATTAATTTTCATGGTTTTCTATTTGTATACAACAAACTAAAATAAACAAAAAAAAAATAAAAAAAATAGCCAAACAATACCAAATTATTGGTTATTAAAACCATAAATAATTGATATTAACGAACACACATCAAGAGGAAAACTAAAAGGAAAGTCAAATGAATTTTGTTATGCAATTTATTGTAATTAATTATAAATATTATTTATTATTAATTATGTGAAATACATCAAATTATAAATATATATACATATAGATACATACATACATACATTATTGTATAATTATACACATAAATTATATAAATCAGCATTTACTTGAAAATGCCAGCAAAACAAATAAAACTTAATTAAATTAAAGTAATTGAAAAGCAGAGAGCAACCAAAAAGTGGAATTAAATTGAAAGTAAAAAACTTAGACTCAAGTACTTATATACATACATATATATATATATATATATATATATATATATATATATATGAAAAATATATATAAAGATGAAGGAACCCCGTAAATATACGAAGCAAAGTAAATTATGATGATGAACAACTAAATAAATAAATTGTAAAATTACAAATTATGTGTTTTTATTGCTTAGTTGGCTTTTAATACAGGATGATAAATGGGTTTTCAGCAATCAGATAAACAGTTCCTTTGATAAGATGTTTCTTTATCCCAGTTACATAAATTTGCCCAAAACCCAACTAAATTAAAGATTTAACTGGTGCGGAAATCGCCGAGAATTATCGAATCTTAAACCTAGTTTAAAGTGCGAAGCTTTTAAAACCCCATCAGTGTTAAGCCCAAACCCTATTTTAATCGTATAAATAAAGCAATAAACGCAACGTTTTAGACAATGGAAGAGACTTAAACATGTAAAAATTGAGCTTCAGTCTGGCTGGAAGTGCATTTTGTGCGTATTTCTCTTTTGGCAAGGCTAGAAACATGTAAATTGATTTGAATTATTAAATAGTTGAATTTAAAACAAATGCAATGCAAGCATAAGCATTTAAATCATTATCTATTTACATTTCAAACAAATGCAATGAAACTGATTTTATGTTTGTACATAAAGGAGAACACGTATTTGGCCCAATGAACCAGCCCGTAAAATTTATTGAGTCCAGTTTATTGAGATTTTCCTCGGCTTCAGTTGCAGGATGCAACATGCAAATTGCAAAAATCAAAATCAGAATAGAATTTTTGTGCCAATTTTTGCATATTAGTTGCCCTGAAAAAGCAGCACACTCACACACACAGATACACACAGACACACAACCCTATTCTCCTGCACGGTTTTTGTCCGCATGCTCGTTCAAATTTTCGTCCCGTGTGTCATTTCCGTGCAACGTAACTGAATTCGGTTATTGCTTCCTGCGATGTTGCAGCGCTGTCATTTCCGTTGCTGCCAAACACACACACACACACACACACAGGCACACGCACACAAGCCCACCTATATACGCACACACACATGCTTCCGAGCCGAGGTCATTTGGTAAAAGATTTTGGGTCTATTAATTGACGCTTACAATTTAGGTACATTTTGGTCAACATTCAGAAATTCGAAACTCATATTTGTTTAAGCGAAAAATAAAAAGTTTTCACTTTTGTCGCACTTCCGCTTACACACACACACACACACACACACACATGCAAAAGAAAAACCGCATTCATTTCCGAAATTTCATTGAATTACATTTAATTGTTAATGCTCTGTTTCAATTGTTGTTGAAGCTGTGCATGTGTCGTTGTGTATGTGGTTAGATATTGTTTCTAATTAGAATTTACAAAATGTGTGCAACATATTTGTGAGCTAATTCACCTAAATCGCAATCTTGAATCTGACTGATTCTGATTCAACTGGTTGCGATTGCAATTCACAAAAGCGAGTTGTGGCAACTCGATGAAAACGATTTACGCTCTCATTAAGTGCATTTAACATACTCAGCTTACAGTGCAACCCATTGACTTGCCATTTACCCAGAAATTTTCTAAACAATTACGTGCCTAGTGAGCTCATAAAAACTCAAATACCAAAAAACAAGCTGACTGCAGCCAGGTCGGTCAGCCGCCAGGCTTGGCAATTACTAATTGCCGGACTACCAGCACGTTGCCAGACCCCGGACAACAATCGGTTGGAACTGGAAGGAACAGTGGCAACTGTTGGCCTCGTTTTTTTGGGCTCTGTTGCTCTGCTCAACTAATGGCCGTAATTCGCCTTTGCAGTGACCCCTAAATAAATGGACAGCAGGACAACAACACCTGCCGCCTGGCGTTCAGATGCAAAGGAAAAACTTTTTGTCTCAACTTTTGTGCCCTTTTATACCCTGTAACACTGTATGGGCTATGCCACTGCAGGCACAGGCAAAATAAGAGAAGTTGTCACCTTCTCTCTCCTTTATTACAAAAAAAAGTGTAATTTTAGCCCTTTGAAAAAAAAGCTGAACACAAAATTGTATAAAGCTATAATAAAAAAATGCATAACCTTGGAAAATTATTTATATTTCAAATAAAATTTGTAAAAACATTTGCTACACTAATTAGTTCCAATTACAGGATATCATCTAGTGGAGCAGCCTTTCTTTTGTAACTAGGTGTGTGTTTGTATGTGTCAAAGTGTCTCTTCTAATGACACGTTGCAGTGGCAGACAACAGCAGACAAAACTACATAATTTTCAAAACAAGAACAACAATGGACAGCCCAGTTACTTTTCTGCTGTTGTTGTTGTTGTCCGTCTGTTGTTAATGGCGCCGAAAAGTATGCAAAACAAACATTGGCCAACAGCCTGGCAGACAGACAAGAGAGTCACACAGACCAGAATGAAGTTGAGCTTGATGCAGAGTACATGACATTTAATGGTGCCAACTGTTGTCTAACAATATGCCTCCAGGCCGGCCACTCGGTCATTGTGTCAGCTTGTCAGCTACTTTGTTCTGCCCGAGACTCACACTCACTCATATTCAGTTCAGCTAACTAACATTCATTCGTTATTCACAAACTTTTTTACGCCTTGACAGACCAAATAATGCACTTTTAAATTAAAGTCTGCTGCGATAGGATAGGATAGGAGCACGACGCAGCTGCAACTGCAACAGGCAAAGCCAGCGAGGTCACGTGCCTCTCCAGCTGGTTGGTCGCCCAAGAAAACAAACCGCCAACTGACTGGGCATAAACTTTGCCAACTAAAACAAAAGCCAACTGTCTCAGCACTGTCAACTTGGTGCTCAGGTGGCAAAACGACCAACTGGCAACAACAGATGCCATTTGTGGTGGGTGAAACAGGTTCACTGGAGCTGACATTGAACGGCAGGTTTGTATTTACAAGTGATTTCTACTTAGTAGAAACTTAAGCTATGTGAAGCACTTAATTAAATGGATGAATCCCTCTTAATTATGTCAATTTTATTTTGCACAGCATAAGATGAATTTAATAGGGCAGATAAAGCAGAAATCTATTCATTTATAATATTTTTCTTCTTTTTTTATTATTTTATTTTTTATACCGAATTAATTCGCATCTTTCCTATTTTTCGTATGTATATACAAAAATGAGCTTCATTTAACTTTTGCAAATATTGAGTCAAATGTTTTGATTGCTTTAAGCTGCAACACCTTTGCGTACAACAGTGCGTATGATTTGCATTGGTTGGTTGTGCGTTGTGTGTCGTACGTGAGCAGCAGCAGAAATCAGCCTTGGGGCTATAATCAGCAGCAGCGACACACGCATAAATTATAAGCAATACACTGTGAAACTACAACAGCAACAGCTACAACTACAACCACATCAACACTGCAGAGCACAACACAAGCGAATGGCTTTGGATGGTTGAAGACGGAATCGTGCTCGATTCGTGAATGCCAAAATACAAACTCTCATAATTTCCATGTCAGTCTGGCTGATTGACGATGACGCTGACGGTGACGCTGACGATGACGATGACGATGACGAAAACGACGACGACGAGGATGTTGTCAATGACTGCTCTGATCAGCACGAAGCACAGATTCGATGCTCTGGATGATGACACCAACCTACAGCCACACAGTTCATAAACCAGAACAGAATAGAACGGAGTGGAGCGGTGCTATGTGGAGTACAGACTAGTAAAACCTTTTTGGAAAGCAATGACACATTTTGATGGCACAACAATCACAACAGCAACAGCAGTTTCAGCAACAACAGCAACAACAACAACAACTGTTGCAACTGCTGTGCGGAAGCTGTTGCAGCATACAAAATGCCAAAGGTGAACGAGCAACTGAGATGGTGACAATGAAGGGTAACGGGCACGTGGGCGGTTCAGACATTGAGCCAGCCGGAAGTTAATCCCGTGCAGCAGCAACAACAGCAACAGCAGCAGCAGCAGTGGCAAATGAACTTACAGCAATTGTCAAAGTTGCAGCAGTGAAAAAAATAAAATAAAATAAAATATGGGAAATTATTACGAAAAGCTTCTTAAAAACATTTATACAAGTTTATTTAAATAAAATTGCATGAGCAAACTGCAATTGCTGAAGCTTACAGCTGCAGGTTTTAAAGCTATTGGCCACTAATACCATCTCAAGATGCAGATATCGATGACATGCGGCTTTAAAGAAACTAACATACTATATTTTAAACAAATTTTGTTTCATAGCATATTCTTCCCAATTTTAAGCACATTAGAATAAGGTGGACTCTTAACGAATTATCCTGTATAAGAAGAGAAAAGGTGTTATTGGCTGTATG